CTCTGGTTTACCAAGTCCTCTAAATGGGCCCTTCACTTAGGATTTCTGTTTTTCAGTTATTATTTCAATTGTCTGGAGGAAATCGTTGTTCGGCAAATCTTAATTTAGATCTCAAGGATGATGAATTCCAATAAGCACAGAACAATAGAAGCATATTTAAAGGCTTTGTCACAGTTTCTGTGCAGCATACCACAAAACACCAAGAACACTTAGGCATGTGATCTTGTTGTTAGTGGGCAAATCAAACACTGTGGTTATGTTTGATGTAATTATTTTTTATTTCACCGCTGTCTGTTTTATTTAGCAATTTGTCTGTATTTTTATTACAGCTGTTTCACTCGATTCAGAGAACCTGTTTGGACTTGTCTAAAGCAATTGTGCTCTATCAAAAGAGAATATGTTGTAAGTATGCCATAAGTATGAATATTGATCAGATAGACAGGAAGAAATGGGATATTTTGCCTTATGATATCGTTGCATATGTGTAGGAAGTAAAACAAGGCAACTGCTAGTTAAGAGTATCTGTCTTTGTTCTTTATGTGGTGGGAGGGGGGGTCTTTAATAATTTTATCAAAAATTCTTTACCGAGGCTTTCTGTTCATCTTTCAATGCAAATACCATTGTAGAAGAATTTTGTACTGGGTCTCCCATGGAGACCCCATTTATTTTCCTAATTATAAAAAGTTTTCTGTTTTATATCTTGGGATTTTAAAATTTGGGGTTGTTTTTATTTGATTGCCCTGGCTCTCTTATATCCAATTTTGTTCCTTTTAAAATGACCAAATGGAGACAGAAGGCACACACAGTTAATTCATTGACTATATTTTGTTGACAACACTTCTTCATCAACATTGTTATGTTGGGTATTGGGTTATTAGGGAACAAGATTTTCCTCTGGTCATCCTGTCTTAAAATCATTACTAACAAAGTTATCTCTGAAATGCTAAATATGAAGTTGTATGTCAGTATGTTTTTAAATTTCCATTTGTAGGTGATTTAATAGTATTGTTTATATATTTCTGAGACTAAAGTATGGGAAGGTTTTCTGTTTCTGGCTGCTGCAAAACATCTTTCCAATAATCACAGGTTAATAATTGGTAATTTTCCTTCATTACTAATCTTTTATTAAGACTATTTTGGGGAACTACAAAATCCTAGGAGTTAGAGGCAACCTTTTATAAATTATCTGTGTTACTATTTTCTAAGTGTTTGAGCTAAGACTTCTTCTGGGCTGTAACTCCATAGCCATGAGCTATGAGGAAATGAGCACACATGACACACCCCTATCCATTTCTCTGTCCCACATTCAGTCAGTGTCAAATGCTGGTCCATTTTGTCACCTAAGGAGCTTTCAAATTCTCCTTCCTNCTTCAGTATTGGCTGTAATGCTCTAATGGAGATAACATGGTGTGCGGCTTTATCTCTGACTCACTGGGGTGGCTGAGCCAGTCACCCTGCCTGGCTTGGCCTCACTTTCTCCACTTCTAAAAGGGGTGTGCCCTACCCGTTGACAGTGACTGTCTCTTCAAGGTTTAGTTTCTGAATTTCCTGCAAAAGTTGTTTTATTTCCTCACTAACTTGTAAGGTTTTGAAATCAGAGTTGATTAACTTTTTGGTGGAATCACCATAAAAGGAAGTATTTGTATGCTTATTCATGTTATAGATGTATAATATAATCTTTAGAGAAGTTTGTGCACACTGAAATATCTTAGTCATTATGAAAGTCATGAATAAAATAGGTCTTTCAATGTTTTTTTAGCAGTTATCCCTGGGATTTGCAGGACCGATATGCTCAGGATAAGTCTGTTGTAAATAAGATGCAGCAGAAGTATTGGGAGACAAAGCAGGCCTTTATTAAAGCCACAGGGAAGAAGGAAGATGAACACGTTGTGGCCTCTGATGCAGACCTGGATGCCAAGCTGGAGGTGAGCATCCTCAGCCCCAGCACAGCTGCCTTGCTGGGTTCGTGGTCCTAGAGCGGACTCACCTGCGCTAGCCTAGGTGTGCTTTATGTTTGAAAACATATTGCAAACAACTAGCTCATGAGGAAAATCTAAGATCAGATCAATTCAAATTCTCATGTAACCACCTGTATGCCTCAGTTAATTTGTTTTTCAAGCACTCCGTTGAAATGCATGGCATGTGGTAAATTCTCAGTGTTAGTTGAAAAACATTAATGTAATTAAGGAATCACCACTAGTGATATCAACACTAGGGTCAGGTACATGTTTGCATTTAAAAAAAAAAAAAGAAGGAAAAAGAATGACAGCAGAAGAACGTGGGAAGTAGAGTCTAGTAAGCTTGGTGTTGAACCCTGGAAAATCTAGAATGAATAAACTAAGCAGATATTTACTTACACTAGTGACTAGAACAGTAAGTTGAATTCCTAACTGGTTGATGCGAAAACATTAATATAACTGGTCGACTAACTCCCCATCTAGCTGGATATACTCCAATAGTTTAGATTACAATTTAGAAAGCATACTTATGACTTCTGTGAATGACAGGGCACTGACAGAAATAATATGTTACATGACCTGATAAGAATTCAAAACGATCCCCAGATTTACTATATTAGCTCAAATTAATGAGCTGCGCATTTCATGCGACGAAAACAAAAAGTTCAGGATTTCAAAAGGCTTTCCAAGAAGTGTAGCCAGGAAGGTGGAAATCATGGTTATACTGGAACAGAGAGGTTTAAGGGGAGATAGGTTAGTTGTTGATTGTATAGAAAGGGCCATCACGTGGAAGAGGGATAACTGATTCTAAGCATCTGAGGGTAGAACCAGACCCCCGGCCACTGTTCATTAGCACTCATCACTCATGGGATTATCTCAA